TTTCTAAGTATCTCATCAGCATGGTATATATTCAGGCACCCTTGCCCCTATTTACACCAGCAGAATGGAAGAATAGAAAGAAGGCACAGGTCTATCACTGAGTTTGGACTCTCTCTGCTACTCATGCTCATATGCCACTCAATTTTTGGTGGCTGGCCTTCTCTACAGCAGTATATCTGCTTAACAGACTGCCTTCCAATGTGCTTGAGTTTGTATCTCCTCTGACTGTTTTAATACAACAAGAACCTAATTACCATGACTTAGAGTCTTCGGATGCAGTTTTTTCCATATCTCAGACCCTACAACAAACACAAACTCTCATTTCATACTGAAAAGTGCATATTTATGTTATAGTCTGTCTCACAAAGGCATAAGTGTATGTCAAGTCTGGAAAAATTTTTGTTGCAAAACAGGTGAAATTTAATGAAGAAGAGTTTCCCTTTAATCTGGTTTTCTGATGCTGAAATTCTGGTTTTTCTAGTTCTGTTTCAAATTCAAATCTTCTTTAGTTCCTTTAAGATCAACTCTGGCTGGTTCATTCCTGGTCAGACAAAACTTCTCTAATAGAATATTGACACAATGCTACTGCAGAATTATCTACAGAAAATCTGGTTGTACTAGCAAGATGTGAATATAAGAACAGGGCCTTCCAGTAGATCTAACAACCAGGATACACTGCATATTTACCTACTGCAGTTCCAATACATGAGCTGGTGCTCTATACAGCCTTCAGTTCTGACCTCCTCAGATAATACTCTATCAGCTCATCGGGGATTATCTGGAAGTAGTACTGCCCATAACAGACAACATACTGTTGTGTCTACTGCTAATATACACCTATGGCACACGACTTAAATCCAAAAATGTCCAGTCATCAGCTAAAGCCCTCCTCACTACTCACACGATTCTTAAAGAACCCAGCAGGTTAAAGAGGCATTATCTATTCCTGAATGGAAGACTGCTATGGAGAAGGAATATCAAGCTCTCCTTGATAATCAAACCTGGGAATTGGTTCCGTATGAGGAAGGGATGCACATAGTGGGCTGCAAGTGGATTTTTAAAACTAAACTCAATGCTGATGGACCTTACGAAGTATAAAGCTAGGCTGGTGGCTAAAGGGTTTCAACAAACCCCCGGGCTAGACTACTTTGAACATTTTCGCCAGTGGTCAAGGCTGCTACAATTCGAATAATGTTCACTTTGGCAGTCCATCACACTAGATATTCATCAGTTAGATGTGAACAACGCATTTTTAAATGGGGATCTTACGGAACAAGTGTTTATGATGCCTCCTGAAGGGTTTTCTCCTCTCACTCATCCTCCACAAGTATGCAAACTTAGAAAGGCATTATGGTCTAAAGCAAGCCCCCAGGGCCTCGTTTGATAAATTGAAAACAGCCTTTCTGTCTTGGGGATTTAAAAACAGCACCTCTGATGTGAGTTTGTTCTTTTACAATGCTGGATCATTGTAGTGTATCTATTGGTGTTAGTGTGTATGTATTTAGTCCTGGAATGCTCCTGATCTTATAACTAAAGTAATTCAAGACTTGAACAGTAAGTTTGCATTGAAGTGATGGGTCCAGTTCATTTTTTCCTTGGATTCGAAGTTGCAAGAAGTGCTTCTGGTCTCTTACTTACTCAGTCAAAATATGCACAAGATCTGCTGGAAAAGGCAAATATGGCAAGTTGTAATCCTTGTTCAACCCCCATGGCCATTGGAACTAAACTCAGAAGAGGAGGGAGAGTTTTTTGATCAACCTACCTTTTATAGAAGCATTATTGGAGGATTACAATATCTAACGCTGTCTCGACCTGACTTAGCCTTCACGGTGAATAAGTTAAGTCATTTCTTCAGCATCCAACTGTCACACATTGGGTAGCATGCAAAAGGGTGTTGCGTTACATTCAAGGGACTCTGAATTATGGTCTGCAATTCACAAAACTCCACATCTGGCACTGGAAGCTTATGCTGACCTGACTGGGCAAGTGATATTAATGACCGCAGGTCTACTAGTGGCTATGCCATCTTCCTTGGTAACAATCTTGTTCATGGAGTTCCAAAAGCAGAAAGTAGTATCACTCTCATCCACAGCTGAGTATAGATCATCAGTCAAGCTGCCACAAAGTTTTTGGATACAGCATTTATTTCAGGAACTGAGTGTTATAGTAATCTTACTCCTGTATCTGTTGATAATATGAGTGCAGGGGCTCTTTCCTCAAATCCTGTTTTCATGCACGTACTAAGCACATAGAAATTGATGTTCACTATGTACAAGAACTGGTTGCAAAAAAGCTTAGCAGTGCATGTGTTGCTTCAGTACCAAAAGGCAGATTTTTGACCAAGCCGTTATCTGGAGCAAGATTTATTTGTTAGGGAAAAGTTAAATGTAACTACACGCTTACCTGTTGTGTACACTGCCAAAGTTGATCAGAAAACTGATGAATGTAATGCTGAAGTTGAATGCAGAAGAACTTGCAGAAAGTTGATCAGGAAACTGATGAGTGAAATGCTGAATCTGAATGAAGTAAAACACTGCAGAAACTGAATTTGTGTTAGCAAACTGAATTTGTGTTTGGCATAGGAGAATGAAGTTGACTTTACTTGTGATGGTGTTTCTTATTGCAGAAACTGAATTTGTTTTGCAGAAACTGAATTCTTGTTGGAGCATAGGAGAATAAATGCTGAATTTTCATGAAGTAGAAACACTGCAGAAACTGAATTTGTGTTGGAGCATAGGAAATGAATTTTGATTTCACGTGTGATGGTGTTCTTAAGCAGAATTTTTTATGCGGTCCAGCAGACTACTTATAGTGGTTTTGATATGCAGAAATTTTGTAGAGCTTTGATGTGATGATGCAGAAATGGTCATTAATTCTTGTTGTGTTGTTGCTAATCTAATTTTTATGCAGTGTTTTGGATTGATGCAGAATTTGTGATGAGAAAAAAAAATAATAAATAATGCAGTAGATCAGATTGATGATGTAGCATAATGTGGCAGATTTTATGCAGTTTTGGTGGTGCAGAAAATAGTGCAGCAGATCAGAGTTTTGTTTGTGTGAAGAATATTTGATTAAGTGGAGAAGAGTTGTACTGGATGGTTGAAGAGAGTATGTTTGAGAGGGATATTAGATATAACGTAGAAGAAGTGTTTTGGATGGTTGAAGAGAAGCTATGTTTGGAGGGAATATAAATATAGTGTAGAAGAGGTGTCCTGTATGGTTTCCTTGTATAGTCCAAACAACTCAAACGCACGTTTTTAGAATGCTGTATTTTCCAAAACGCTGCGTTTCTGATGTGTTTCACCACTATATAATAGTTGGCTTTCATCTTTCAGATATAAAAAAACGCAGGTTGTCGTGAAACATATAGCAGTTTTTTTTCTCTGTTTTTCCTTTTTGTTCAGTTACAAATCCTCAACCAACTCTTTTAATATCGATTTCTAGAATTAGGAATTGTATTGATTTCTAGAATAGGAATTGTATTACCTAATCGATCTATTCCTAATCACACAGTAGCAATTAGTAATAAAGTTAGGGATAAATTTTCTATTTTATTACTTGAATAACAAACCTAAGTTAATAATCCGAGCTTGTGAGATTGTTGCTTAGGTTAACCTATTTCATTGAAACTTAAAGCAACCATTACATTAAATCTAGAGAGTTGGTTCTAGGGTTTCTAATGTTTAAGATTGTTGAAGAGTCTATTTCATTAGTCAAAATTAAGAGAATTTCGGGTAGTAGAGTTTGTTACTGCCTAGGTTGATACTTCTATTAAAGGGTAGGTTGCATTGCAATTGAGAATATACATTGATTGTGAGGATCAGATTGAACCGAGAAGTCAAGTTGTTTTCATATGATTTTCATTCATAATTTGTATTGGTATTAATTAGTTTCCTTGATTTTACAAACCGCCAATTTATATTTTGGTTATTTAGGTCAATTTGGTTATCAAGATTTAATTTTAATGATTGGAATTTAGATTCAACTACTTCCTTATGGGATTGACCTCACTCACGCTATCTACGGGTTAATATTAGAAGTAAAGTTTATTAATTTTGTAGTGTCATGACACTGTCAATCCTATTGAAGACTTTTGAAACAACAGACAGAAAGAAGAAACAATTCAGAGAATTAGAAACTCAAGAATGATGGGTAGTTTTTCATTGATGGAAACGGTTGCATTCTCTTTTTTATAGCCAGCATGCGGCTGTTAAAACACAAATGAACTTACAGAGGTTAAAAATTGAATCATTTACAGTATATAAACTTAAATTAAAGAAAATATCATCCCATCATTAGAGTTTTCAAAATAGTCAAGCGGAGAGTCAGTCTTAATAGTCTTATGGATGTCGGCCACAAAGATCGCAACAAATTAAGTGAGAGTAAGAAAGATAAATGTAGTTTCTCTCAACAGCAAGCTTTTGCCTTGACCCGGTCAAGGGTCGGTTCCCCGTGTTGACCGATCAGATCGGTGATATCAATAACTAAAATAGTTTTAAAAATTTGCTAGTTAATCCCTAAAATTTTAATATATTTTAAAAATACCCTCTAAAAATTTAATTAGTCTCTAAAATTTAAGATATTGCAAAAATACCCCAAAAATACATTATTAGGCTCTAAGATTTGAATATTAAAAAACCCCTAAAATTACCAGTTAGTCCCTACAAAATTAAAATATAGCAGAAACCCCCTAAAACCTGAACCGGATTGGAGAGTTGCTGGTTCTTGGTCCGACCAGTCCAACCAGCCAGGTCTGGTCCGCTTTTCAGAACACTACCCAGCAGCTAGTAAGATAATTATAATCACATATGCTAACTATATTTCAACACAAAATAAATAAGAAAATAATAAATTAAGCACGTAGCTTTTATTTATGATAATTTTAAACACCTTGTCTTACAACATTACCTTCTACACCACTTAATCTAGCTACTACAGTCATGCAATCCAAGGATCACACAACGATTTTATTTTAAGGAACTCGGTTCAACTAGATTTGTCGAGAATCCATCATCTTATTTAATTCACCATGCGAATGATATTTCTATCTGCATGAAGAAAATTGTACTCCTCAGCCTTGATGAAATTAATCAAGAAATTTCCTGGATCAGCTTTGAGAACCAAACGTCTTGTTCCACTCAACAAATGAACGCCAACGTCGCCGCACAATGTTGCACAAGTGTCGCACACTTTTGGACAGTGAACAATTTTGTATGAATGTGTATTTCCAAACCTCTCAAATTTAAACCAATTTAGCAACGTTTCAGCTCCAGGGTTTCCTGCAACTCCACTTCGGGTTATAAACCACTCACCAGTTGATGAGTCATAGTCATTAACCCTCCACACTATCTGCAAGCACAAAGCGTCTTGAGAATAGAATCTGATATTCAGATCAGAGGATTCATAAACAATTCCATCTCCATTTTCAGTGGCTGGTGAAAATAATAATGGTAAGCCCTTATCTAAATCGGATGGTAGTTGGATAACATTACGCGGGCAGCGATCTCTGGTAGGGAAAACGCTCACGCCGCCACCACCAGCTCCTCTGATTGCCGATACAATGTAGTAAGGAGTTCCAGTAAGGACCTTCTCACCATTGATGTCGAGCAAAGGCTTAGGATCCCCAGCCCCCAACAAGGGTTTTGAGGCAATCAAGGCAAGAAAAAGGAAGGAAAGCACTAAAGGAATCTTCATGGTTAATAGCTAGCTTCAAATTAAGGCCGGTTTGATGTGTGTGGAGGTGAATGCAAGGAGAGATTCAATTTATAGAGGTAGAGGATTGGTTCATTGGTAAGTGCTTCATGCACAATTTATTGAGGATAACTTTGGATTTCAGATGGTCCAAACACCAAATTTGGCATTTTGCACATAATATTATTTTGTTTTTTTCTTTTCAGAGTGGGGGCAGGCATGAAAAAAATATACCGAGTTTTCATTTTAAACATGTTACAATATTTTTTGTCGCATATGTATGAATATGATAAAATATAAAGTGATACATTGTTTCTTGAAAAAGAATCCATTCTAAATATTTTCTGGATCTATATATATAGAGCTAACACGTATGCTGGTCTAAACTGGACGTGAAACTCGATCCTGAAGATTTTTTAGCTTTTCAAGGACTTGTTTGGCAAGAATATAATATATCTCACGTTTTAACCGTGAATACAGGAAAAATCAATAATTGAACTTTCTAGATTCCTTATTATCTTTTAAGTGGATGGTCCAAATTAGTAGGTTACCTTTTGTCTTTGATTTGATAATCTTACTAAAACACGCAATTTAAAATTTAAAATGTCAGACTTAAAGTATGTTAAATATCCATATATAGGTGGAATAAAAGTCAGACTTTGATCACCTTTCCAAGTTCATTAATTATTGATTTTTACGCATAGGCTAAAGTTTGGCATTTCATATTACTAGTTACTTACAGAAATACCACTCTCCGATAAATTATGTCAATAAATTTTTGAATATTTGTCAAGCTTGGCTCTTAATAGCCAATACATAATTAATTAGTTTAGTGAAGAAGTGATATGATACCGTCTCCTAAATTTATTCCTTTCTTCGATTGGTTTGTGATAGTTTAAGGTATTTAATTCCATCTACCTAATTAAATGAAATTTTTTTTATTGGCATNGCGAAGAAAAGATATGATACCGTCTCCTAAATTTATTCCTACCTTCGATTGGTTTGTGATAGTTTAAGGTATTTAATTCCATCTACCTAATTAAATGACATTTTTTTTATTGGCATTAAAAATTTTTGTATATTTTTTAAGAAAAATTTAACTTACATAGGCTAAAAATTGAATCATTAATTAAGAAAAGTCCAATCCTTATTTTGAATGCTAGGCCTGTCTAGCATTAGGGTCTCCCCTTTTCTTTATGTTCATTCTTTTTTTTTTTTTTTTTTTTTTTTTTTTTTTTTTTTTGGTATCTAGGGGTGTCCGGGTCAGCTTACGCACATCTCGCCTAGTCTCTCAGGCTCTAAAGTTAACGGTCAGGTTAGCCTCCAGTGGCTACCCCTTATTAGTAGTTGTAGATATTTGAACTCAAGACCTCTTGAGTAATACACTCAAGAGTCCAAAGGAAATAATCAAACTACCTAGAGATAGTTGTGTTTAGGACTGTCAGCCGAGCCAAGTCTCTCACGAGTCGACTCGGCTCAGCTCGTTAATTACTAGAACTCGGTTCGAGTAAACTCAAGTCAAGCCAGCTCATTTAAGGCTTGCATTAAGTGTCGAGCCAAGTTCTAGTTTACCTCGGCTCAGCTAGAATAGGCTCGCGAGTTAAAAAGTGGCTCGTTTGGGTTTTTTTGTGATATTTATAAATAATAGGTCTGTTTGGTAATTTGACATGCAAAAGGTTGAAAAAATCACAAATTAACCCCCAAATCCCTATTTGTGTTTCTTTTTGTCGTGGATTGTATAATTTGTTGTGTAACACATTATTTTTGTTGATTTGGATGTGATTTATGTTGATTTAGATGCAATTTACAAGGAATTGGATCTCTTTTGTGTAAAAAAAGAACTACAGGTTTAAAAAAAAAAAAAAAAAGGAGAATGAAGCCGTAATCAAGCTGGCTCAAGCTCATGTGACTCGAGTCATAATCGAGCTCCCTCAAGTTGAGTCAAACGAGCTCAAATTGAGTCACAAGCCGACTCAACTATAAACGAGTCGAGTCACGAGCCGAAATTTTCTGACTCGTGACTCGACTCAGACTTGCCTAACGGTAAACCGAGTCAGACTTGTTTAGTGTGAAACTCGACTCGTTTACACCCCTCGTTGTGTTCATTCTTTGTTCTTTATAATATTGCCCTTTACCAAAAAAAAAAAAAAAAAAAAAATGTCCAATCCTTATCATCATTATCGTCTACAATTGGTAAGTGCTTCATGCACGATTTATTGAGGATAACTTTGGATTTCAGATGGTCCGACAAACAAATTTGGCATTTTGCACATAATATTATTTTTTTTATTTTAAACATGTTACAATATTTTTTGTCGCATATATATGAATACGATTAAATATAAAGTGATACATTGTTTCTTGAAAAAAGAATCCATTCTAATTATTTTCTGATCTATATATATAGCTAACACGTATGCTGGTCTAAACTAGACGTGAAACTCGATCCTGAAGATTTTTTAGCTTTTCAAGAACTTGTTTGGCAAGAATATAATACGTCTCACGTTTTAACCATGAATACAGGAAAAATCATTAATTGAACTTTCAAGATTCCTTATTATCTTGTAAGTGGATGGTCCAAATTAGTAGGTTACCTTTTGTCTTTGATTTGATAATATTACTAAAATACGTAATTTAAAATTTAAATGAGAGACTTAAAGAATGTCAAATATGCATATATAGGTGGAATAAAAGTCAGACTTCGATTGCCTTTCTAAGTTCATTAATAATTGATTTTTACGCATAGGCTAAAGTTTGGCATTTCATATTACTAGTTACTTACAGAAATACCAATCTCCTATAAATTATGTCAATAAATTTTTGAATATTTGTCAAGCTTGGCTCTTAATAGCCAATACAAAATTAATTAGTTTAGTGAAGAAGAGATATGATACCGTCTCCTAAATTTATTCCTATCTTCGATTGGTTTCTGATAGTTTAAGGTATTTAATTCCATCTACATAATTAAATGACATTTTTTATTGGCATTAAAAACTTTTTGTATATTTTTTAATCAAAATTTAACTTACATAGGCTAAAAATTGAATCATTAATTAAGAAAAGTACAATCCTTATTTTGAACGCTAGGCATGTCTAACATTAGGGTCTCCCCTTTTCTTTATGTTCATTCTTTTCTTTTTCTTTTTTTTTTTTTTTTTTTTTTTTTTTGGTATCTGTGGTTTTCCAAGCTAGTTTAGCGCACCTCAACTAGTTCCTCACTCCCTAAAGTTAACGGTCAGATAAGACTCCAATAACTATCCTTATTAGTAGTTGTGGAGATTCGAACTCAAGACATCTTGAAGAATACACCCAAGAGTCCTAAGCGAACTATCAAGCTACCTAGAGGTAGCCGTGTTTAGGACTGTTAGCAGAGCCAAGCCGCTTGCGAGTCAGCTCGACTCGACTCGTTAATTACTAGAACTCAATTCAAGTAAACTCAAGTCGAGCCAGCTTGTTTAAAGCTCCCATTAAGTGCCGAGCCAAGTTCGAGTTTACCTCGGCTCGGCTAGAATAGGCTCGAGAGTCAATAGTGGCTCGTTTGGGTTTTTATGCGATATTTACAAATAATAGGTCTATTTTGGAATTTGACATGCAAAAGATTGAAAAAATCATAAATTAACCCCCAAATCCCTATTTGTGTTTCTTTTTGTCTTGGGTTGTATAATTTTTTGTGTAATAAATTATTTCTATTGATTTGGATATGTTGATTTAGATGCAAATTTACAAGGAATTTGATCTCTTTTGTGCAAAAAAAGAACTACAGGTTTTCAAAAAAAAAAAAAAAAAAAAAAAAGAAAAGAAAATCAATCCGTAATCAAGTTGGCTCGAGCTCATGTGACTCCAGTCATAATCGACCTCGAGTTAAGTCAAACGAGCTCGAGTTGAGTTGAGTCGCAGGTTGAGTCACGAGCTGAAATTTTCTGACTCAATTGACTCATAATTCGAGTCGAACTCCCGTAATAGTAAACGGAGTCAGGCTCGTTTAGGGTGAAACTTGACTCGACTCGACTCATCTACACGCCTAGTTGTGTTCATTCTTTAAAAAAAAAAAAAAAAAAAAAAAAAAAAATCCAATCCTTAGCATCATTATCTTCTACAAAAATTCTTTGTTTTCAGTCTTTGATGTACTATTGGACTCAAATATAAATATTGAATCACCGCCTACTAACTTAAGCTTTAAGATAAAGTATCAATTTAATAGGTATCAAAGGTTTTAGTATTAAATAAAACTTTAAAATTTAAGAAATTAATCCATTATTACTGTTCACCTCTAAAGTCGTTATGATGTTCTTAGTGCTTGTAGGTTAAAAAGGTTTTCCTAAGAAATAAATAAAAATAGAAAAATACCAGTAAGTACCATTTTTGAAATTGTCATGCCAACAGCGATTATTGTATTTTGTGCCAAACAAAATCATCAATTTTTTCTTTGATCCGAAATAGCTATTTAATATAATGCATAAGATATTCTATTGTTTAGGCAGAGATTGTCTTGCCAGCAGTGATTAGTAAGATAATTAAAATCACATTTCTAAACTAAATAATAATTTCAAGCAAATTAAATGAGATAATAATGAAATTAAGCACTTAGCTTTTATTTATAATTTTTTTAAACACTGAAAATATTACAATCATGCATTCCAAGGATCACACAACCATTTTATTTTATTTATATTTTTCCAGTGATTAAGTTAAGGAACTCGGCTCAACTAGATTGGCCGAGCATCGATCAATAATATTTTTCCATGCAATTGCTCTTTCCATCAGCATGAAGAGAATTAAACTCCTCAGCCTTGATGAACACGATCCTGAAAATTCTTTCACCCTTGATAGCCAAACGTCTTACTCCGTCAATCTCGTAAAGGCCAACCTCGCTGCACAAACTCACACAAGAGTCGCACACTTTTGGACAATGAACAATTTTGTATGAATTTGTATTTCCAACCATCTCAAATTTAAACCAATTTTGCAATGTTTCAGCTCCAGGGTTTCCTTCAACTCCATTAGTGGTTATAAACCACTGACCGGTTGATGAATCGTAGTTATCAACCCTCCAAACTGTTGGCTGGAAGCAGATACTAGCTGGAGTAGAGAATTTGATATTTAGATCAGTGGATTCATAAAGAACCTCTTCTTCATTTTGAGTGGCTGGTGAAAATAGTAATGATTGGCCCCTATTTGTATCTAAATTTTGTTGGATCACATCGAGCGGACAGAGTGTTTTGCTAGGGAACAAGCTCAGGCCACCGCCACCGCCTCCTCTGATTGCCGATACGATATAGTAAGGAGCTCCAGTAAGGAGCTTCTCACCATTGACGTCAAGCAAAGGGTCAGGATCCGCAGCCCCCAACAAGGGTGTTGAGGCGATCAAGGCAAGGAAAAGGAAGGAAAGTAAAGATGAAGTGTTCATGGTTGCTTCAAGTTAAGGATGTTTTGATGTGTGGAGATCAATGCATGGAGAGCTTCTATTTATAGAGGTAGAGGATAGGTCATTGGTAAGTTTAGCTGGTAGCATATGTGGACTTTAACCCAAATTCTCTCCCGTTAATAGAAGAAGGCTGCGTTTAGTACACTTTTTTTAATAGGATTTGTAAAATTCTGTTTTGAATACATTTTAGGATAGGATTCTGAGAATGTGTTCGGTATATTAGTGGAAATCATTTTCTAATACTTAGATTACTTTTTAACCCCTACATTTGTTAATTTAGGTAAACGCCTCTCACAAATAAAGTTTATAAATTAACAAAAATACCTTCATTCACCCAATCGACTTCTACCAATCGACCACCACCCTTAGATGGTGGCTATCAGTCACACTAGATCTAGCCGATTATATGTCTATCTTGCCTTTTCCGACTAGATCTACCGTGGGTCTGGTCGAAAAAGGTCAAATCTATAGCCAGAAACTATCCGTCAATGACGACCAAGATATAGTCGTCGTCAACGGCTAGATCTGGCAGTTGATGCTAGATCCAGGATGGATCTGGCCCAAAAAGGTAATACCGGCACATGACCAACCAGATCCAACGGTGTAGTATTGGGTTAAGTTGAACGGCGTTGTTTCATGGAAGTGTTAAGTGAATCTAGACCACAGTTTTTCATCAGATCCAGCGGCCATCATTCAGCCTCCGGGTCAACCATATATAAACCCAATTTTTCCCCAAATTCTCAGTTCGATTGTTCTTTCCATTATTCGATTGAGTGAATCCTAGGGTTTGTGGAAGTGCTTAATCAAGATTGGTGTAATCAGGTAGACTTGAGTGATTAGGGCTGTAATCATTCTTGGGAGGGTGTTGTTCTCTCGAATTAGAGTTTCCAGGTGAGATTCCCTAAGGGGCTGGTTACGGGATATCTTGTATTAAGGTAGGGTGATTCTTTTAGATTGATTCAACTGTGACTATAACTGTGATTCTTGAGTTAATAGTTAGTGCAATGAGCTCTTCCCTTTCCAGATCTCAACATGGATGTAGCTTATTCTAGAAGGATAAGTGAACCACAGTAAATCGTTGTGTTCTTTCTATTCCTGCTTGATTGAGTGTGTGCTTGGTGTTTAGTAGAGTTCTTTAATTTGCATAACAGAAATAAATAGTAACTTGTCCAATGCAATAGCGAAAAGAAAAACAAATAAACCCCTATAAAGGGACCTAGTATTAGGTAGCTATTTATTGTTGCAAAAATTTTCTTATTATATGTTTTATTAGCTCTCCTACAGGAGATAAATCTATCGTGCATGGTTAAAACGTGAGATGCTCTGCTAGACAATTTTGTTCTATATTCAATATTCAGTGTATTTTTTTTTTTTTTTTAATTTTTTGTCAAAAAGATTAGGCTAGGTTTTCTTCGATCATTGTCATTTCATGCTGAATTCCATATCTTTTTTCATATAAAGCCTTGTTGCTCTTTATTTACCAGTAATTAGTGTTTATGCCAAAGAATTTTTCCTTAAGAATTTTTCCTTTAATATCTTTTTTTTTTTTTTCTTGTTGAATGACAAAAGTAATTTGTACCATGTTTAAAATGAAAACATGATATATCGTTTCCATGTCTGACACCACTTTAAAAATGAAGATGGCATTTTCTATGAATCCTCTTATCAAAATATCAAATTCTATTCTCAACACTCTGTCTGCTTGCAAACGGTTTGGAGCGTTGATCATAATGACTCATCAACTGGTCAGTGGTTTATATGTCACTCCCCCTCCTGGGTGTCCCTATCCTGTGGGATCTAGGTGCTCTCGAGGGATTCCGAGAGCAGGGTAATTATTTAGAAAACATTTTACAAAAGTCATTTTTATAAAACATAAATAAAGTACGTTACAAACTAAAACGCTCATAAGTAAAGTTCTGAAAGCGGAAATACATAAATCCAAGTCCAAAGATTGTATCAGAGTGCACTAGAGCTTTATAAATCATGCAAATGAACACACGTCAGTGGGTCAACCTAGAGCGTAGATTAAGCTCCGCACGAACCCTGCATACAATCCTTTTTTTTTTTTTTTTTTTTTTTTGCAGGGGGGGGGGGGGGAATTTAAAACACTGAGTTGGTGAGTGATTTAAAACAGTGAGTTGAGGAACCCAGTGAGCAGATAATACATTTCTATACGAAAATAATATTTAGTTTAGTAAAGAAGAGGTATGATACCGTCTCCTAAATTTATTCCTATCTTCGATTGGTTTGTGATAGTTTAAGGTATTTAATTCCATCTACATAATTAAATGACATTTTTTTTATTGGCATTAAAAACTTTTTATATATTTTTTAAGCAAAATTTAACTTACATAGACTATTAGTAGTTGTGGGGATTCGTACTCAAACACCCTTGAATAATACACCCAAGAGTCTCAAACGAACCATCAAGCTACCTAGAGGTAGTTGTGTTTAGGACTGTCAGATGAGCCAAGCCGGTCGCGAGTCGGCTCGGCTCGGCTCGTTAATTACTAGAACTCAGTTCGAGTAAACTCAAGTCGAGCCAGCTCGTTTAAGACTCGCATTAAGTGCCGAGCCAAGTTCGAGTTTACCTTGGCTCAGCTAGAATAGGCTCATGAGTCAAGAGTTGCTCGTTTGGGTTTTTATGCGATATTTACAAATAATAGGTCTACTTTGGAATTTGACATGCAAAAGATTGAAAAAATCACAAATTACTCTGTCTGCTTGCAAACGGTTTGGAGCGTTGATCATAATGACTCATCAACTGGTCAGTGGTTTATATGTCACTCCCCTTCCTGGGTGTCCCTATCCTGTGGGATCTAGGTGCTCTCGAGAGACTCAGGATTCCGAGAGCAGGGTAATTATTTAGAAAACATTTTACAAAAGTCATTTTTATAAAACATAAATAAAGTACGTTACAAACTAAAATGCTCATAAGTAAAGTTCTGAAAGCGGAAATACATAAATCCAAGTTCAAAGATTGTATCAGAGTGCACTAGAGCTCTATAAATCATGCAAATGAACACACGTCAGTGGGTCAACCTAGAGCGTAGATTAAGCTCCGCACGAACCCTGTATGCAATCCTGTTTGGGGAGAGGAGGGGAGATTTAAAACACTGAGTTGGTGAGCGATTTAAAACAGTGAAAAAAGGAAAAAAAATGAAAGATATTAAAGGAAAATCTCTATGGTATAAAGCTATTTATTGGAATAAGCAACATGTATATTGAGCTATATATAATATTAATGTCATATATTATGAGATTAATTAGCATTACTATTATTTAGAATTTAGGAAAAAAATTTGGGTTCAGCTGGACATGTTAAATTGTATGAAGTTTCTTTTCGTTTTAGCTTTGCTGTAAATAGTATACATTCCAATGTGATGTACATGACGTGAAAAAGAACCTAACCTAATCTTGTTAATGTCAAAATACATTGAATATAACCTTAACACGTATGCTAGTCCAAACTCATAATGTTTAACGCGAAGAATAGGAAATTTTATCTTTTCTGCGGTTGTGGTCTAATTACCTCACGTTCTAATCATGTATCTATTGACCTGGAAATTTACCATTAATTTCTTCAGTTTCCTTAACCCCCTTTTTAAAAATTTACAATTCTATAAACATGTTGTCCTAAGTCACAATTCTGGAGACGATATTGTTTGAAGTTCTAATCGAAATTCCTTAAGGGGTTTAATAAATACTAAACAAAATAATGCTTCAAGAAGAAATGGTTTGTGTCCGCTGGATGTTTTCTTAGACATTAATAGCGGCCTACCGTCATTATATACTTTCACCAGCGACTGAAAATGAAGATGGATTTGTTTATGATTCCACTGATCTAAGTATCAAATTTTCCAGTCTTCTACATATTCCAGATATTCCCTGCTCCAAGCCACTAGTTTGGAGATTGGAGGGTTGATGATAACTATGACACATCAAGGAGGTGAATGGTTCATAACCAGTAATGGTATGCAATTGAAGGGATTTAGAGAAATTTCAATACATAAAATTTAAAATTATCTCTAATCTATTTTTTTGTTAAATATTTTATGATAAGGTCATCATAAATTATTACTTTCTTCTGTACATTTGTTCATGTAATTTATATATCTTTTATCTGTTGATTTTCTATCCCTTTTTTTTCTTAACTTTCTATAATTTTTTTTTTTTTTTTAAAGCAGGGTTGCCTATATTGTTTAATGATTTTACAATTAAAAATAATGGTCAAACACGGTTAAGTATCCTTTATACACTGTTTCTGAAATTTGCGTCTTCTGTAAACATATATCATGTTGAGATTGCGGTTTAACAACACTAGAGACGAAGATTTAATTTTCTTGTTTTAGTAGTCTCATTCAAACTTTCAAATCTCAAATTTAAGATTAACTTCCATCTGCCAAAGAGTTTTTCTCTATCCTTGATAAGTGTTCAATAATTGATATTTTCAATCCTTTTATATCAATTTTCGTGATATATTTTGTGTTTAATTGGGCTGATTAATATATCTTGTAAATTAGGAAAGGAATGGAGGCATGCGAATGAAAGTGGAGCATAATGTGCAACTTTTAGACATTGGCAAATTCGACTTCTAAAGGTTCAGTGGAGACTTTGACGATCTTAGAGTTCTAGAATGAGAAAGAGGTCTTCTTTGAGGTTTGATGTAGACATCCTGAGCTTTTTAGATTAGGCTTACGTGTTTTAATCCCAGTAGATTTGGGTATTCAAAGATTATATCCAAGTAGAAGATCTAATCCTATCACAACTTGGGTATAGGTCAGTAATTGGACTACAAAATAAGTTCTAGAAGACCAATTGAGATTATTGAAGATACGTTGGAAAGCTTATAACCAGGGCTACAACTTTCATAGGGAGCCTAGGCCCAAATTCAGTTGTTTTCTTACTAAAAATCTGCTCACAAGTTCTAGCAGAAAATTAGTCAGCCTGTTTTGGAAAGAGTAGGATTCGATTCCTATAATTTAGGAATTTGAGTTGTAAACCGTTTGGGGAGGCTGTACGCATGTTTTTTAGGGTTATTTGAAGGGGCTATAAAGAGAACATTAGGTTTCTAAGAAAAAAAGGACCCCACACACACAAGGAAATTCATTCAGAAACACTTGTGATTCTCAGTTTAAGATGTTTGGCTAAAGTTTTTCAATTCAGTTCGAGGGAATTTCAATTCCTAACACATATCGATGGTATAATCGATAAAGTAATGAAATTTCTTACCTTTCTATGGATTTGATTTATGTCATTATGTTTTAATGGAATATGATATTTGATTCGTTTAATTTACTTCAGGCCTAATAGATTGATTGAGTTGATATCGATTTCTAGAATTAGAAATTGTATTACCTAATTGATCTATTCCTAATCACACAGTAGCAATTAGTAATAAAAGATTGTGGATAAACTTTCTATTTTATTACTTGATAACAAAACTTAAGTTAAATAATCCGAGCTTATGAGATTGTTGCTTAGGTTAACCTATTTCATTGAAACTTAAACAACCATTACATTAAATTTAGAGAGCTTATTCTAGATTGTCTAATGTTTAGAGATTGTTGAAGAGTCTATTTCATTAGTCAAAATTAAGAGGAATTTCGGGTAGTAGAGTTTGTTACTGCCTAAGTTTGATACTTCCATTAAATGGTAGGATTGCATAGTGATTGAGAATATACATTGATTGTGAGGATCAGATTGAACCGAGAAGTTAAGTTGTTTTCATATTGATTTTCATTCGTAATTTTGTATTGGTAATTAATTAGTTTTCTTGATTTTACAAACCCCCAATTTATATTTTGGTTATTTAGGTCAATTTGGTTATCAAAGATTTAATTTTAAGTGGTTGGAATTTAGATTCAACTACTTCCTTATGGGATTGAGCCTCACTCATGCCCTCTACAGGTTAATAATTATAAGTAAAGTTTATTAATTTTGTAGTGTTGATGACACACTGTCAATCCTACATGAAGACTTTTGAAACAACGGACAGAAAGAAGAGTGGGTAGTTTTTCATTGGTTTAGAAACAGTTGCATTCTCTTTTTTATAGCCAGCAGTGACGGCTGTTAAATACACAAATGAACTTACAAAGGTTAAAAATTGAATCATTTATAGTTATATAAACTTAAATTAGAAAAAAATATCATCCACTATCATTAGAGTTTTCAAAATAGTCAAGCGGAGAGTCAGTCTTAATAGTCGTATGGAATAGTCGGCCACAAAGAGATCGAGCAACAAATTAAGTGAGAGTAAGAAAGACAAAAGTAGTTTCTCTCAACAGCAAGCTTTTGCCTTGACCCGGGCAAGGGTCCGTTCCTCGGTTGACCGATCAAATCAGTGATGTCAATAACTAAAATAGTTTCAAAAACTTCCTAGTTAATCCCTAAAATTTTAATATATTTTAAAAATACCCTCTAAAAAATTTAATTAGTCTCTAAAATTTTATGATATTGCAAAATGCCCCAAAAATATTATTATTAGGCTCTAAGTTTTGAAATATTAAAAAAACCCCTAAAAATTACCAGTTAGTCCCTACAAAATTAAAATATAGCAGAAACCCCCTAGAACCTGAACCGGACTGGAGAGGTTGTTGGTCCTTGGTCCGACCGGTCCAACCGGCCGGTCTGGTCCGCTTTTCAGAACACTACCCAGCAGCTAGTAAGATAATTATAATCACATATGTTAACTAATAATTTCAACCAAAATAAATAAGAAAATAATTAAATTAAGCACGTAGCTTTTATTTATGATAATTTTAAACACCTTGTCTTACAACATTACCTTCTACAACACTTAATCTAGCTACTACAGTCATGCAATCCAAGGATCACACAACGATTTTATTTTAAGGAACTCGGTTCAACTAGATTTGTCGAGAATCCATCAATATTATTTAATTCACCATGCGAATGATATTTCTATCTGCATGAAGAAAATTGTACTCCTCAGCCTTGATGAAATTAATCAAGAAATTTCCTGGATCAGCTTTGAGAACCAAACGTCTTGTTCCACTCAACAAATGAACGCCAACGTCGCCGCACAATGTTGCACAAGTGTCGCACACTTTTGGACAGTGAACAATTTTGTATGAATGTGTATTTCCAAACCTCTCAAATTTAAACCAATTTAGCAACGTTTCAGCTCCAGGGTTTCCTGCAACTCCACTTCGGGTTATAAACCACTCACCAGTTGATGAGTCATAGTCATTAACCCTCCACACTATCTGCAAGCACAAAGCGTCTTGAGAATAGAATCTGATATTCAGATCAGAGGATTCATAAACAATTCCATCTCCATTTTCAGTGGCTGGTGAAATAATATGGTAAGCCCTTATCTAAATCGGATGGTGTTGGATAACATTACGCGGGCAGCGATCTCTGGTAGGGAAAACGCTCACGCCGCCACCACCAGCTCCTCTGATTGCCGATACAATGTAGTAAGGAGTTCCAGTAAGGACCTTCTCACCATTGATGTCGAGCAAAGGTTAGGATCCCCAGCCCCACACAAGGGTTTTGAGGCAATCAAGGCAAGAAAAAGGAAGGAAAGCACTAAAGGAATCTTCATGGTAATAGCTAGCTTCAAATTAAGGCCGGTTTGATGTGTGTGGAGGTGAAGCAAGGAGAGATTCAATTTATAGAGGTAGAGGAGGTTCATTGGTAAGTGCTTCATGCACAATTATTGAGGATAACTTTGGATTTCAGATGGTCAAACACCAAATTTGGCATTTTGCACTAATATTATTTTTTTCTTTTCAGAGTGGGGGCAGGCATGAAAAAAAAATACCGAGTTTTCATTTTAAACATGTTACAATATTTTTGTCGCATATGTAGAATATGATAAAATAAAGTGATACATTGTTTCTTGAAAAAGAATCCATTCTAAATATTTTCTGGATCTATATATATAGAGCTAACACGTATGCTGGTCCAAACTGGACGTGAAACTCGATCCTGAAGTTTTTTAGCTTTTCAAGGACTGTTGGCAAGAATATAATATATCTCACGTTTAACCGTGAATACAGGACAAATCAATAATTGAACTTTCTAGTCCTTATTATCTTTAGTGGATGGTCCAAATTAGTAGGTTACCTTTGTCTTGATTTGATATCTTACTAAAACACGCAATTTAAAATTTAAAATGTCAGACTTAAAGTATGTTAAATATCCATAAAGGTGGAAAAAGTCAGACTTTGATACCTTTCCAAGTTCATTAATTATTGATTTTACGCATAGGCTAAAGTTGGGCATTTCATATTACTAGTTACTTACAGAAATACCACTCTCCGATAAATTATGTAATAAATTTTTGAAAATTTGTCAAGCTTGGCTCTTAATAGCCAATACATAATTAATAGTTTAGTGAAGAAGTGATATGATACCGTCTCCTAAATTATTCCTTTCTTCGATTGGTTTGTGATAGTTTAAGGTATTAATTCCATTACCAATTAAATGAAATTTTTATTGGCATAAAAACTTTTGTATATTTTTTTAAGCAAATTAACTTACATAAGCTAAAATTGAATCATTAATTAAGAAAAGTCCAATCCTTTTTGAACGGAGTAATGCTAGCCTTACTCACTCTCCCTAATCACTTCTCTTACTCACCTTTATTAAAAAGTTAGCTTTATTCACTTCTCACCTTGTTTAACAAAGGTGAGTAACAGAAGTGAGTAAAGGAAGTCATTAAGGCTAGTATTACTCTTTTGAACGTCAGGCCTGTCTAGCATAGGTCTCCCCTTTGCTTTTCTTATGTTCGTTCTTTTTTTTTTTTTTTTTTTTTTTTTTTTTTTTTTGGTTGTCTAGAGGTGTCTGGGCCAACTTACGCACACCTCAACTAGTCTTTCAGCGCTAAAGTAACGGTCAGGTAAACTCTAGTGGCTCCCCTATTAGTAGTTGTGGAATTCGAAGTCAAGACCTCTTGAATAATACACTCAAGAGTCCAAGTGAACCGTCAAACAACGTAAAGGTAGTTGTGTTAAGGATGTCAGCCAAGCCAAGCGCTCGCGGTCGACTCAGCTCGACTCGTTAATTACTAGAACTCGGTTCGAGTAACTCAAGTCGAGCTAGCTCGTTTAGGCTGCATAAGTGCCGACCAAGTTCTAGTTTACCTCGGCTCAGCGGAAAAGGCTCACGAGTCAATAGTGGCTTGTTTGGGTTTTTTTGCGATATTTACAATAATAGGTCTGTTGAAATTTGACATGCAAAAGGTTGAAAAAATCGCAAATTAACCCCAAATCCCTATTTGTGTTTTTTTTGCTTGGATTGTTAATTTGTTGTGTAATACATTATTTTGTTGATGGATGTGACTTATGTTGATTTAGATGCAAAATTACAAGGAATTGGATCTCTTTGTTTAAAAAAGAACTACAGGTTAAAAAAAAAAACAAAAAAAAAGGAACAATCAAGCGTAATCGAGTGGCTCAAGCTCATGTGACGATTCATAATCGAGCCCTCAAGTGAGTCAAACGAGCTCAAATTGAGTCACAAGCAACTCAACTATAAACGAGTCAAGTCACGAACCAAAATTTTCTGACGATTCGAACTTACTAATAGTAAACCAAGTCAGGCTCGTTTAGTGTGAAACCAACCCGTTTACACCCCTAGTTGTGTTCATTCTTTATTCTTTAAATATTGCCCTTTACAAAAAAAAAAGTCCAATCCTTATCATCATTATCTTCTACAAAAATCTTTGTTTCAGTCTTTGATGTACTATTGGACTCAAATATAAATATTGAATCACTGCCTACTAACTAAGCTTTAAGATAAAGTAGTAATTTAATAGGTATCAAAGTTTTTAGTATTAAATAAAACTTTAAAAATTAGAAATTGATCCATTATCATTTTGCTAAGTTCTGCTTCATCTTGAAGATCTAACATGGTATCAGAGCCAGGTTCAAAGAGTTTAGTGTTTGACCAATGGGTGAGGAGTTAGAGCCAGCACCACCTAATAACAGGCATGAACCAACATATGGGCTTGACCGTGAGGGGGAGTGTTAGAGTCCCACATCGACTAGGCACGCTCAAGCTTATTGGGTTATAAGAGGGGCAATCTCCCATTCAATAAGGCCTTTGAGTGAGAAGTTAGGGCCACCTCAAATTCTAACATATCAATCTTCACCTCTAAAGCGTTATGATATTCTTAGTGCTTGTAGGGTAAAAAGGTTTTCCTAAGAAATAAATAAAAATAGAAAAATACCAGTAAGTACCATTTTTTAAATTGTCATGCCAACAGCGATTATTGTATTTGTGTTCAAACAAAATCGGCAATTTTTCTTGATCCGAAGTAGCTATTTAATATAATGCATAAGATATTCTATTGTTTAGGTAGAGATTGTCTTGCCAACAGTGATTATCTCTGCAGTAAAAGTACCATTTTTAAATTGTCATGCAACAGCGATTATTGTATTTTGTGTCAAACAAAATCATCAATTTTTTCTTTGATCCGAAGTAGCTATTAATATAATGCATAAGATATTCTATTGTTTAGGTAGAGATTGTCTTGCCAACAGTGATTATCTCTGCAGTAATTAGGAAGATAATAAAATCACATTTCTGAACTAAATAATAATTCAAGCAAATTAAATGAGATAATAATGAATTAAGCACTTAGCTTTATTTATAATTTTTTTAAACACTGAAAATATTACAATCATGCATTCCAAGGATCACACAACCATTATTTTATTTATATTTTTCCAGTGATTAAGTTAAGGAACTCGGCCAACTAGATTGGCGAGCATCGATCAATAATATTTTTCCATGCCATTGCTCTTTCCATCAGCATGAAGAGAATTAAACTGCTCAGCCTGATGAACACGAGCTGAAAATTCTGTCACCCTGATAGCCAAACGTCTTACTCCGTCAATCTCGTAAAGGACAACTCGCTGCACAAACTCACACAAGAGTCGCACACTTTTGGACAATGAACAATTTGTATGAATTTGTATTCAACCATCTCAAATTTAAACCAATTTTGCAATGTTTCAGCTCCAGGGTTTCCTCAACTCCTAGTGGTTAAAACACTGACCGGTTGATGAATCATAGTTATCAACCCTCCAAACGTTGGCTGGAAGCAGATACTAGCTGGAGTAGAGAATTTGATATTTAGATCAGTGGATTCATAAAGAACCCGTCTTCATTTTGAGTGGCTGGTGAAAATAGTAATGATTGGCCCCTATTTATATCTAACTTTTCTTGGACAACATCTAGCGGACAGCGTGTTTTGCTAGGCAACAGGCTCAGGCCACCGCCACCGCCTCCTCTGATTGCCGATACGATATAGTAAGGAGTTCCAGTAAGGAGCTTCTCACCATTGACGTCAAGCAAAGGGTCAGCATCCGCAGTCCCCAACAAGGGTGTTGAGGCGACCAAAGCAAGGAAAAGGAAGGAAAGTAAAGGAGTCTTCATGGTTGCTTCAAGTTAAGGATGTTTTGATGTGTGGAGATCAATGCATGAAGAGCTTCAATTTATAGAGGTACAGGATAGGTCGTCGGTAAGTTTACATGCACAATTACTCATGATAAGGAGATTTTTTTTTTCCCCTTCTGGTGGGTCATTTTGTTAGGCTGGCAGCATATGTTGACTTTAAATGAAATTCACTCCCGTTAATAAAAGTAAATTAGTAAATGTAATAGTTGACAGAATTTGGGAAACTCTTATTAAATTTCAGATACAAAAGTTATTAGCAAGAGTTCAAGTCTGAATTTAAAAAAAAAAAAAAAATAGTATGTCAATAAGAAAGATAAATTGTGGACTTAAATATATTCATTCGGAAATCTGAGATATCTCTTGTTATATCATGTGGTCCAACAAATGAAAATGATTGTATACGTACTAGGTAGGATATGTTTTTTACCACAATCTCATCTTAGATGTACTGGATAAGTTTTCCATTAGTGATTTTTCTATAAATTGAAAAGATTTTTACTAAATTTTCTGGTTATACATTGTTTTTAGGTCTGTTCTCCACAGAAAAGAAAGACTAAGAGTTACAAGTATTTGAATTTGAAAACGTTTGATCAGATGGTCCAAACACCAGGTTTTGGCTTTGTTCACATAATTTTTTGTCGTTGGTTTTTCAGAAGTGACAGGCATGAAGAGATATATCAAGTTTTCTTTTAAACATGTTGCAATAACTTTTGTCATTGGATATTGAAAACGATACATTCTTTTGTTGTTAAGATTATTATGAATATTGGAATTTCTGCAGCTTTTGGCTTTACTCACAATTTTCGGATCTCTAGCTAACACGTATGCTGGTCCAAACTCAACGTGAAACTCAATCCCTGAAGAAATTTTAGATTTTCAGGATTGTCTTGCAGGAACAGATCTCACGTTTTAAACAATAACCATGCATCCATTGCACAATAAAATTTACCTTATCTAGAAGAACTAGAAGGAATAGTCCCGTAAATCAATTCAAAACAATTAATTCATAAACGTTAATGAGAACAGTTCTTCCAAGCTTTATATATAGAGTCAAACTTCTCACACTCAGAAATTGTAAAATTTTATCTTCTAGTAATATTTTCAGATTAACTTGATCTGAATTTTAGAAACTTAAAAAGATGCTTGGATTGGTGGACCAAAAGCTATCCCAGTGACAACAGACCCCAGACCTCTAGTAAGAAAATGACTTTATATTGGATCCAAAAGATGGGTAAGATATGGATTTGTGAACCTGCGTGGTTCGCAATATGTAGGCCTTCCTGTGAAGACGCCAAGAGTTGTAAGATCAATTTTAAGGGTGTTTTTTTTTATTTATTTATTTATCTATTTACAGATATATGATTTAACTGAATAACATTACAACTACACATCCTAATTAAGAGATAAAAACAAAAAAAAATTAATAATGCATGAAGAAGTCCTAGAATCGAGAAAGGAAAGTCGTAAAACTTTCCAGAGAAGAAGAAATGAAATTTGACAAAAAAACAGAGCAAGGAAAACTTGCTAAAGAAATGTTTATTAGAAACATATCAAAATGTTACAATGCACTGATCGTGCAGTCCTTTTTATACAAATTCTAAGATGTAACTGAATCTGAATCAAGTTGCAGAATAACAGAATCAAGTTGCTTCGTTTGGCAACGGCTGTAACAGCATCCAGTTGTAACAGAGTCAAGTTGCAGAATCAAGTTGCAGAATCAAGTTGCAGAGTTAGTTCGGCAACGGCTGTAACAGAATCCAGTTGTAACAGAGTCAAGTTGCAGAGTTAGTTCGGCAACGGCTGTAACAGAATCCAGTTGTAACAGAGTCAAGTTGCAGAGTTAGTTCGGCAACGGCTGTAACAGAATCCAGTTGTAACAGATTCAAGTTGTAGAATCAAGTTAATCAGTTTGCCAACGTAAGTGGTGAGGTGGTGAGGTGAGTGGTTGATGCAGGTTGCACTTCGTAGCAACTGATGCAGCACACACACGTCCTTTTGCATCGTAATATCCTCCCTCGAACTGAGCAACAGTAAGTTGTGATAGTTTGAAAAATAAACACCATAATATCCTCCCTCGAACTGAGAACTTTTAATAACGAATCTACAACGAGCTGATGAAGTTAGCGAGCTAATTAAGCGAATAACAGCTGATGAAGTTAGCAAGCTAATTAAGCAACCAACAGCTGATGAAGCGAACAACAACAGCAAACTGATGAAATGAGCAATAGCAAACTGATGAAGCAAACAGAACAACAACTGATGCAGCGAACAACAACTGATGAAACGAACAACAGCGAATTGATAAAGTGAACAGAACAACAGCTTTTAACCATTACAAAATGAAACTGCAACGAGCTGATGCAGCGAACAACAGCTGATGCAGCGAACAACTGATGAAACAAACAATCAACAGCGAACTGATGAAGCGTAAGGTGTGAAAACAAGTTTACAAGTTTACTTTTGACTTGAGTGGATGCTCAAAGAGGTTAACTAGTTACAAGAGGGAACAGGAGACAGAATGTCCTCCCTGAAACTTATAGGACAGTTGATAGTGAATTGTGTGTCCTCCCTGAAGCGGGTAAGAGAGATCAAACGCAATTTATCACACAACATTTGAAAACGTGTGACCGGCAGAGGTTTTGTAAGTATGTCTGCAATTTGAAACTCACTGGCTATGTACTGGACAGCTAACCTTTTGGAGAGAACTAAGTCTCGGACGTAATGCACATCAATTTCGATGTGCTTAGTTCGAGCATGAAACACAGGGTTTGCAGCCAAGGCATTTGCACTTTTATTATCACACCATAAGACTGATTGATTAGGAATAAAAATCTTCAATTCATATAACAATTGCTGAACCCAAACAAGTTCGGTAGAGGCTTGAGTAAGTGATTTGTATTCAGCTTCTGTAGAACTTAAAGCCACCACCTTTTGTTTGTGAGATACCCAGCTAATGAGATTGCCAAAGAGACAAATACAGAAGCCGCTGGTTGATTTTCTATCATTCAAATCATTGGCCCAATCTGCATTAGCAAAGCCTTCTAACACTATAGTTTGGGAAGGCTGAAACTGAAGACCAACGTCAAGAGTACCTTTGATGTAACGAAGGACTCTTTTACAGGCAACCCAATGGGACATAGATGGACTTTGTAGGAACTAACTTAACCTATTCATAACAAATGCCAATCTGGTTGTGTCATTGTCAAATATTGCAGACTGCCAATAATACTTCTATACAGAGCTAGGTTGTCAAATAAGGCACTATCATCTTTAACCAACTTAGTATTTGCGGCTATAGGTGTTGAACTAGCATTGGCATCAAACATACTAACCTTTTTTAGTAGGTCAGCAGCATACTTAGATTGATTTAGGTGAATACTAGCAGTAGTTCTCACTACTTCAAAACTAAGAAAGTAACTCAACTCTCCTAAATCTTTTAAGGCAAAAGTGTTATGTAATTCGTCAACTAGCTGCTGAATATAAACAGAATCATTGCCTGTAATTAAAATGTCATCCACATATACTAGCAAATAAACAACCTTTGTAGAGGAATGATGAATGAACAAGCTACTGTCTGATGAAGAGTTCTGAAAATCCTTTTTCAATAGCACTCCTCTGAGCTTTTCAAACCAGACGCGAGGGGCCTGCTTAAGGCCATACAAAGCCTTGTTCAACTTACATACATAAGCAGGCTTGTTTGTGTCAATAAATCCAGCTGGTTGTGTCATGTAAACAACTTCAGTAAGATCACCATTTAAGAAGGCGTTGTTGATGTCAATTTGCTAAATTTTCCAATTGAATTGGACAGCCAAAGCAAGGATTATTCTGATGGTACATGGCTTGACTACTAGAGCAAAGGTTTCAAAGTAGTTAATTCCAGGAGTTTGCTGAAACCCCTTAGCCACCAACTGTGCTTTATACCTAGAAACACTGTCATCCATGTTATACTTAATATGAAACACTCATTTATTATCCACCAAGGTCATTTGACTTTCATATGAAACTAACGTCCAGGTGTTATTATGCTGCAGTGTATCATATTCTTGTTTCATGGCTGAAAACCATTCTGGAGAGCTCAAGGCTGCATGTACATTAGTAGGTTCATGAATTGGTGCTACAGATGATGTCTCGGCAATTTCAGCAACCAGAGCATTCGTAGGATTATGAACTGGTGCTGCAAATGACATCTCGGCAATTTCAGCAACCAAAGCATTCGTTTTGCGTTGAGATCTAGTTATCATAGGATGTTTGTTGGTTTTTAACTACTGTAAGGCTGATGAATTTTGAGGTAAAGGAAGTTCAACGTCTAGGTGAATTGTAGGAGTTGATGAGGATATTTTATTATCCATAACTTGGTAGAGTCCTAGAGGCTGATGTTCTGCCAATATTGGAACATTTTTAGTGACCTTTTCATCAGGAGTCTAACTTTGAGGTTGAGTTGAAGAAAACGACGCAGTCAGATTGTCATCTGAGGGTGTTGTTGCTGATTTCGGTAAATTGCCATCAGTGGTAGGTGTGAGTGAATCTGCAAATTTTTGTGAAAAATTTAGTTGGTAGTGCACATGGAAGCTGCCAGTTAAAGGGATACCTTACTGACTTAGTTGATTGTTGTTGAGATGCAGAAATAACACTTTGCACATCCTTGGATGAAAAATTTGTTTCATCAAAATCAGCATGTCTGGAGATGTAAACTCATCCTGTTTCACTTAGACATAAGTAGCCCTTGTGAGAAGAGCTATAACCAATAAAGATGCAGGATTTTGTATGATAATCCATTTTATGAGAATTATATGGCCTTAGGTAAGGAAAACACCTATAGCCAAACACCTTTAACATGGTATAATCAGGAGGCTTATGAAACAACTTCTCAAACGAGGATAAGAACTGAAGGATTGGAGTTGGTAACCTGTTTATTAGATAAACTGCTATATGAAAGGCATGCCACCAAAATTGAAAAGGTAGTGAGGATTACGCTAGTAATGTCATACCAATTTCTGTAATGTGCTGGTGTTTCCTTTCAATTTTTCCA